TTTAGAGTGTGATTGCGACATAATCTTTTACGCTCTTTACGGCGCGTTCGTAGCAGTCTGCCGTAAATTGGCTCTCGTTTAGGTTGTCGAGAACGCGAAGCAAATTAGTATCACCTTCCCACCACCAACGGTGTCATCGGACTGTGGTACCGTCATTAGGGTCAGTTAATGGTTTCTTTACGCTGTTGCGACTACTTCTTGGACTTCTCTCTAATTTTCACATTTTAGGATGGTAGGATGGAAGCGCTCGTTGTCGTTTCACTCGATGGTGTCCTCCCTCACCAGGTATGTGGATTCCTGTCCTGCTTCGACTCTTCGTCTCTTAGCGTTTTTCGAAAGACAGCGCCTTAATTATGCGCGTGTTCATCGAACTAGCATGCCCTAATTGACCACTGGCGAAGAATTGCTGTTGTGGCAGTCAAAGCAATCGCTTGGCTAAGAAACCGAGACCATTTTGAAATCTAAGTAGCCTACATTTGAGGAGCTGCGTTGGTGAATAAAAAGCCTGTAGTGAATAATAGATCAAGCCAGCGACAGCTCACATCAGGCAGCTTGTTACAAGCAGAGTCAACTTTCCGTTCACACCCGAACAAAGTGGCTGCAATTTTGAGGAGGTGGGAGGTGGAGGGTCGCTTATGGGGGTTACGCAAGGTTAACTGTCTTTGAAAAAAGTGTGGAAAGAAATGGGCGAAGTCAGGTGTGTTGGGGTCTCAAAATCAATTACGTTAGAAACAGCCATGACGGTGAGGGTGGTGATGGGGGTAGGGATTAGGGGTGTTGTATTAGGATAGCCCCCAGGACTGATGGTGGTGAGTGGTGGGGGAAAGGGGTGCAGCGCATCGAGCCCCTCTTGAAGGAGGGTCGCAAAATTTCCAAAAAAGTGCGAACGCGACGGTTGACCCTGGTTACGAGGCCTCTAGGCACAGCCAAGCTTTATCATAAATGTATTATAGCTGTAGTCAAAGCTGGAATTAGTATCGCTCCACCAAAATACAAAATGTGGCCTCACGAATTGCCTCTTTCCAGGTCACTACAGAATGGGACCGATTCTACCGTGTCTCCTGCGACGTCTCTATGGATAAGATGACCAAGGAGGGTTCCGTTGTTGTCACAACTATCTATGAGGCCAGGTAGAGAAGATATTCCTTGGTTTTTTAGCCGTTATAATTTTCAGGTCTAACTCATGTATTAAATGCAATTTTTCAGTTCGCAAAACACGACGGTTCTTGAAGTGGCCACCCCTCCCCCAGTCACCGCAGAGCTCACCATTCTCAATCAACTTGAAGAGCCTTTGCATAAGGTAATTCAAGCGAATCTCTTTTCTGCTGAATGTTTCTGTCCTAACATTTTCTCTTCAGAAATAATTAGAAAGTGCTCCGTTCTGACCGCTGAGGAGAGAAACACATGTCTAACATTATCCAATGAAATTACAGGCTTCAATTGGAGACCCGCTTGATGTTGGTGATTACGTCCGAGCAGGCTGGTCCTCACAACATGATGATCACAGAATGTACCGCCACCCGAGTTGGAGGATTTGGCGACAGCGTGCCGTTCACACTCATCGAGAATGGGTAATATTCCGCTTCCCCGGGTACAAGTCATCTTAGACGCTTCATACGGGTATTTATTGCAGATGCCCACGGTATCCTGCTTTGGTCGGACCAGTGGAGCAGGATTTCGATAGAATAGGCCTGTAAGAGTGACTGCGTGCAGTTCCGTCTGGAGGTTCATACGATGATCCAATCATGCTGTTTCAATAATGTCTGTGCTGGACCCACGGTTGTCCTGTGCCTGGTGGATAGAATTTTGGTCTACCTTATTTGTGAACCAAGATGGCATCCTTAGACTTGTAGACTAGGATAGAACTTCCGTTTGCGGAGCGCTGTCGGGGAAGACTTCTCTGAATAAATATACTTTGTTCCCAGTCGAACTGCTTGGACTCTGGCACAAACGAGCTGTTCATGTCACACGGACGGAAAAAGCGTTCAACGCAGCCTACTGAAGGGCAAAGCGAAGAAACATTGTCGGCTATCATTCGTGTGCTTGCCAAAGGAGAGGAAGAGGAATTACAGTCCAGTAATCGACGCTTCTCAGGGTGCGTCATTTTATTTGAGGAAAAAAAACGTAACCAATAACTTCAATTGCAATCTGAAGAATGGGAGGTTTGGTCGTATTGCTCCTCAGAATATTCTGAAAGGAATGCTCTGGGAGTTTGCGATAAAAGCCTCTTTTTGACTAGCTTGTTCTCAAGATTCCATGAGCAGGAGAATAAGAGACTTGGCTATAAGTAATTCAAAGCAACAACCTTAGATGAGGTAGTGTCGAACAATCTATTCTGTAGTAAGGATAGAGTAGCCCGCGAGTATCACAGTCGTGCCGTTGTCATGGCTCGAAAATGTGCGGCAATGGCGCTAGGGCCTTATAAAGTGAGCTAATGATGGCTAATGTGAGCTAATGGACGAGATACCCGCGCACATTAAACACGCTAATTAGAGTGCGACGTAGCGGCTAATACAAAAACGTAGCAATTCGTGGAGCCATAGAACAGCAAGAAACTCGTCCAAACACTCCCTCCATCATTTCAAGGGGGAAAGTGAAAGTCCCTATTTAGGGGCTCAATCGGCGTATTGCCTTGCATTTTTTTTATTCTCATTGTAAACTCAACATCCACAGCGTCATTATCGACCGCTTTTACCCAATTTTGACCGGGGGTTGTTGCTCTAAAGAAGAAATCCATGATAAGAACGAAGGTCAATCAAGGGAAGTTGGGAGACAGGCGGACTTTCTGAGGGAGACGCGCAACTGGCAGCGAAAGATTTGACCTCGGCGATCTAGCATGGCTCACTCTTGGCGTTGGCGGGGTACGCCCACCGACTATCTAATCACTCGCCGCAGGTCTATACGTGGCGAGATAGCAGAGAGAGCGTAGTGTTGAAGAGGGCACAGCGATGAGAGTCGCATCAATGCGCAAATCAACGGGCAAGGAAGGGGTCCCATTTCTCGGGTTTCGGGCCGTTTCAATGGTTTCTTCTTCATCCTGCTCCACTGACCACCTCTACCCTTATTTCCAATGAGCTTAACTTTTCATCTGCCTATAAATTCTGCCTTAAGTGATCCTTTCCATTGAAAATTACTGCTATAAAAACAACTTGTTTAGCGTGAACGACCTGGATCTGGTGTGCATGTCCGAGACGTGGTTCGTCTCCTCGATAGTGTCCGTGTCCGTGTGCTGCCTGCTGTTCTCCGCCCTCATCGTTGTTTGGGGATGCCATTCTTTGAACACCACCAAAGTCAAACTTCCTATGTAGACTTCATTGACTGCACTTCATTGTTCAACAATCACTGATATGGTGCCACAAAGTGCAATTTCAGCACATGTTAATGTCTTTCACTGCGCGGTTGTTTAGGCTTCAAAGTCATTACCGAAACTTCCAAAG